TGAGGGGGGAGGGTTTTCCTTTCCTTTGCTGGTCCTTTGGTTTATTTGGACTGCCAGAAACAACTTCAAATATAATTCCCCCCTCCTACAACTTCTATGACAACTTCTTATGTGTTGGCCTATTACATCAAGGCCCTCAGGGTCTGTACCAATGATGTTTCGAACTTCAGGCCCCCCGTTTAATCAGGTGGGCTCCCCCTTCTTCCGGATGGGTTATGGTGAATGTAGATGACAGCTGGAACCATTTATTTGCTGCGGTTGGGGGCATTTTTAGAAATTCTGAGGGTAAGTGTATGTGCTATTTTACTTCACCTGTTGCTACTAAGAACCCCTTAGCCATTGAATGCTGGGGGGGTTTTCTTGCATTAATGGTGGCAATTGCTTTCAATTTAATTGCTTTCAATTTTCATACGATTGAGGTGGAAACTGATTCAGAAATGCTCTATGATATATTGTTGGGTATCTCTCCTCCTCTCTGAAATATTATCCTCTCTGGAATATTATATGCATTCTTAAACGTATTTCTTGCTTTAATTTTTGAAAGACATGAAAGTGAGTTGGAGTTTCATCCATAGATAGGGCAATTCCCCTGTCGATTGGTTAGCCAGGCAAGCAGGGGATGCATGCTCTGTAGGTTTATCTCCCCCTGCTCCCCTCAGACGTCTCCTTACTGGGGATAACCTGGATTTGCCTTATGTTAGATTTTAGCCTTATTTGCCTTATGTTAGATTTTAGAAACTCTTGCTGCTCGGCTATATGGCTGGGTGCTCTCGTATCTTTACTGTGGTTTGTTTTTGCACCCTCCCTCTTGTCGTTTCTTCATTTTGCTGGTAGGTTTCAGATTGCACCCCTTTCTGGTTTTGTGTCTCTGGCTCTCCTGATCTCTTGGTTTATGTTGGTCTTGTGCTGTTTGGCTGCTTTGCTCAGTCGATCAACATCCTAGTTTGCACTGCTGTTTGCTAGTGTTTCCAGTGGATTGGGAGTTTCCCGCTGTCTCTTTTTTTTCTTGGATTCTCTTTTGTTTCTTTTCTGTTATTTCTGCTACACGGGCATAAGTATACTAATTTTGAGTTTTGTTTTTTTGGCTTGGGTACACTTGTAAGTTTGGTGTTTTCATTTCGCATGAGTTGTAATGTGGGAGGAGGAACCCCTAGGGGTGTTAAAAGTATTTTTTTGGCTGTTTTAGACGGGGATCCTCCTCCCCTCCAACTTTTGTACCTGTATCATGTATCATATAACGTCGTCTTCCTCGCTCGGCTCTGCTAGCGTTTCATCCGATGGCGAACTCTAGCAACAGTTACTTCTTCGCTGTTTCCTCTCGGCGTCTTCGCACTCGATTCTGTTCGTCTCCCCGCTTCTTCTCCGTCTCTAAGACGAGGCTCGTCTCCTGCTCTAGTGTTCTGCGATCGATTCTGCTCCTCTGCGGCTCGTCTCGCTGCTCGCGTGTTCTGTGGCTCAGTCTCGCGGGAACTGCTCCCGATTTTTGCGTTCTCTGCGCTTGTTTCGTCTCACCGCACCGTCCCCTTTTTTAGCTTAGGCTATTTCGATACGATTTTTTCCCTCGTCTGGTTTCTTCTCTAAACGTCGCACCTATCTTTGAGGATGACTTCGGTCAAATCGTATGCAGCTGCCCTTGTCGGTGTCCACGCCTCAGGCACACCAAAATCATCATCTTTCCCTCATCTTTCCCATCATCTTTCCCTCATTCGTTTGAGTGGGCGTAGGACATCATAAAACCTAGTAGGAATAATGGAAAGCTTGCCATCTTTTTTACAAAAGCTGAATGTATTCAACTTGCTTCCTCCTGTCGTCTGAATTTGGTTGAGAAATTTCTATATGGTCATCCCAAAATAGAGCTCATTCATAAAGAATTTGAACTTATGTATTTTGTTGGAGAATGAAAAATTGGACTATTAGATGAGAGACATTCTTGTTCAAATTAGCAATGAAGAAGATTACATGCACATATTTGCTAGAAAAATAATATGAATTGATAACAGAGCAATGAAGATTCTGAAATGGTCTGTAGATTTTGACCCACAGACGGAACCACCAATCATTCCGGTTTGTATTCGTCTCCTTGGTCTAAAATTTCATTATTTTTCTCAAAAAGTATTGTACTCTATTTCCTCAGTTTATGAGAAGCCACTCAAGATAGACATTCCTACTTTTAATCTGTCCCGTCCTTTTGAAGCCAGAGTACTTATTGAAATAGACATCACTTCACCCGCTTCTGAGGAAATCTGGTTGGGCACACAACACCATTAATATTGGCATAAGGTAGAGATTGAAGCTTTTCCATCGTATTGTTCGGACTGTCGTATGTTCGGACACTCCAGTTCTCAATGTCACAATCTACACCCCCAACTTAGACAAAAAATGCAAACTGCTCCGCTAGAGGCTGTGATTCCATCTACCTTCTCTTCCTGAGTAGGGAGGCAATATGACAACTATTCAATCCCCAGTTGTAGCTCCCTCGTCTTCGGAACCTCCTATCATGGGGGAGAGGGAGTTTTTGCAGACCCCGCCTGCCCTAGAATCTATCACTGATAATATAGATGAAAACACTTCTACTGTTTCACAACCGCCTCATCAGGTCTAGAAAGATATTATTATTACTCAGACTCGTGGGGATCGAGACGTGCAACGACCTACACCTATTCGACCATCTTTGGAATCTACTGGTCAGATGAGTCAATCATCGGATGAGGAATGACAGGTCTACACATCTAAGAGGAAGAAGAAGAATGAAAATCTACTTGAGCTCACTCATGAATCTGATGATGATATTGTGGTTACTACGACCAATGATACTTACCTTACCAATTTGTTAGTCGACTCACTTCCGAGAACTAGAGGCAGAAGGACTAAAGGACTAAAGTGGGAAGGACTAAAGTGGGACGTTCCTAGCACTTTTGTGCCCTTTTGTGACTTTTTGATTTTTTACCTTTTGAATCTTTGCTTTATCTGAGTTTTGTGCGTGCTGTATTGTATGAGTTCGACTTTCTTTTAGGTCATCTCATCCAACATTTTCGTATCTTTTTTGTATTAATATATTTTCCCTCGGACTTTTTCGTATATGTATATATATATATATATGTATATTCACGATGTCAGCTGCGGTCGAGAGCTCTGCTAGGATTTCCAATGGCGATTTCCGTTGAATTTGATTCTGCCGCTCGAAGGAGAGGGCTCGCACCTCGTCTCTGTTTCGTCGACTCTCGCTCCTCATCCTTTGCTTCGTCCCGACGTTACTACGTCTCTTTGACGCAGTCGGCTTGCGGCGTTTGCGTCGACGTCTGTTGCGTTTGCGCCGTTCCTATTTTGACGCTGCGCCTCTCCCTGCCCTACAATTTCGTTTCGTCTGCGTTTCGGGGACCTCGCAACAAGTGAACAGAAATACAACCACACACCAACCACCATCTCCACACATTCACCATGATATCCTCTGATACAAACACAACCACCATCTCACACTACCACCACCTCCACACACAAACCAACGTACACCACCACCTCCACACACAAACCACAAACCAACGTACACCACAACCAACGTACACCACCACCTCTACATCCACAACATTGCTATCAATAAATCAAAGCACCTTGTACCCTCTTTCAACCATTTTTGAAATTCTGTGTCAAACATCAAAGGTAAAGATCCCATATTTTTCATTTGATGCAATGCCATACAGGGCACCTGAAACCTTGTTATCAACAAATCAAACACCTTCTTTCAACTTTATTTCAAAATTTCTGCCAAGGTAAAAATAAAACCCCACCTCATATTTTTCATTTGATGCAATTCCATACAAGACACCCGAAACATTGCTATCAACAAATAAAACACTTCCTTTCAGCCATTTTTCAAATTCTCTTTCAAACATCAAAGTTAAAGATAAAACTCCATCCAAATTTTATCATTGATACAGTTACATACAGGGCACTCGAAACATTGTTATCAACAAATTAAACATCCTCTTTCAACTATTTCTCAAATTCTCACTCAAACATCAAAGGTATAGATAAAATCCCATGTCATATTTTTCATTTGAGGTTACTATATGCAGGGCACCCGAAACATTGCTATCAACAAATCAAACACCCCTTTCAACAATTTTGCAAATTCACAATCAAACATCAAAGTTAAAGATAAAACCCCATTCTATATCACATTCAACCACAAAATCATAAAATCCAAATTCCAAATCATAAAGAGAAAGCTACAAATCGCAAAATCCAAATTCTCATTTCAAACCGCAAATGAGAAATCCACAAATCTCAAAGAGAAAGTCATTCCATCGAACAAAATTGGTGATACCGTGGGAGGACGGAGAGCACGGTAAACAGACAAAGTGCTGGAGATCAGAGGGAAGAGGGAGAGAAGAGAGGCAACCCGCGCCACCGGAGAGAGTCGCGAGAGAGGAGCGATCGAGAGAGGCATGACCTAGGGCAGAAGAAACGCGAGGGAGAGGGCAGCGGTGAGAGGGGAGCACCGAGATGGGCATACGAGTAATAGGTTTGCGAAGAAACACGGGCTGCTGGGTTGAACCCGTGGCCCACGTTTAACATAACTTTTTAAGCAGTGCTACCACGCCGTGGTTTCCACACCTCATCCGGTGTTTTCAGAACGCACCACTCCAAATAAACTGCCACAAACGGGCAAAAACTGAGATTGAAAATTTAGTTGATCTGTCAATATGTGGTATATGTGGTGAGGATTTAAGATGCGTCTTAAAACTGCTTTGTAGGGGTTGGCATAAATCATTCATAAGCCCTGGATAAAGCAGCCAGCCAAATTGCTCCTTGATATCTTGATGCCGCTACAGAATAGTCTTGTTTAGTTAGTCCTTTATCCTTGGAAGCTAGATTCTTGAAAGGAAAATTTATTAGTTGACTTAACTTTGATTTCTGGGCGTAGACTGCTAAGACGTCACTTATTTTTTTCTTCATATTTTCTCTGCGGTTTATTGTAGTTTTTTATAAATCTTTTGCAGTGCTCAGAGGCTACATGAATTAGGTGATGAATCTAAATTTCTTCCTCTTTGGAGACAGGTTCCTTCTACCTCTATTTTTATTAATCAAATTGTTCAAAAGTAGATTTGCATTTGGTTTTAAAGCTTTCTTGTTAACTAATAGAACCATGCCTGCGCCTGTCAAAGAATAGCAATTTGTGGGCTCGTTGATATTGGCTACTATTATCAGCTATAGCATATAGTCATAACTGAACTGCAGCAATTATAGTGGGATGGTTTGCCCTTTAAAAAACAAAAGCTATAGTGGGATGTTAGCTTATAGTACACATGCAAACTTTAGTTGAATTGGGTTTATATTCTGTGTTTGACAATTTCACTCATAATCACCAAGGTAAATACATGAACCATATACAGATTCCCATTTGCATGATTGATGATAAAGAAGCGATTTAGTTTTGTTACAAGTTACAGCTGTGCATTGATATTTCTGCAGAACCTTTTCCAATTTTATTCTTCATTTCAACTACTCACTTCACATTTATTTGTATTCATTTATTTAAGGGCAATGAATCGAAGCAATTTTTTTTCCTTGATGCTATTTCAAGAACCTAATAAGTTAGTTATATGATTATTAGTAAAAATATGTAGTTTCAAATCTTAGCACAAAATGTAGGCGTGCATATACTTAATTTCAAGTAAATAGTATAATTCTAAACTGGATTGCATTGAGAATCTAAATTCCACACAATTATGTATGCTTAATTGTTTAGGAACAAGCTTCAAAAGGTAGATTTTCATATCTTTTCAGGTATACCAATAAACCAGAGCAACTGATTCTTTCTCAGCCCCTCTATTAGAAAACGGATTCTAGTTCTTTCTTGCTCATATCATGTCATGTTATTAACAGAATACTGCACGGTTTCATCCAATTTATCATAGTTAAAATAATTAGTTAACGCTTTTGTTAACCTTATTGTAAAATTCAGGAAATGCATTGACATATCAAAATATCTTGACCTGTAAAAAAGACTAACTTAAGTCAAGCAAATCTATTTTTTGCACAATGCAACTAAGCAATATTTATACTAAATAGTTGCACAAAAGAAGGTTAAAGCTTTATCTGGGAGATCAGGCCTTAATTTGTTCTTAGTGATAAGTTTCTTTTTCCCTTTGTAATTGTCCATCCAAAATTAAACTTTAGAGATGATGTTAAATTGCATGTTTTTTTTTTTTGTTTTCTAGTTTTCTAATTAGCAAAACATATAGCAAAACATATCATATTTGTTTCTTGTAAAAAAATTCCACATTGATGCGAGAAGGTTATCATTGGAAAAGTTAGTTAAATGAGTCTCTTCAGGGTGACTAAGAATTTTGAATGCTATCCACAAAATCGTTTAATACTTAAAGAGAAACAAGTCAACTCTAAATATTTGAAGAAAATCTCATTTGAAAAAGATATAAAGATCATCCTTTGGTTGAGAATTGCACATCGCAGAAGTTGCAGATATTCATGGCCAAGTTTTTCAAATGAAATTCAGTTGGGATTTTAACCATATAGATGATCCATCCTAAAATAATAACTTTTACAGAACCCAAGTTATCCAAATCTAGCTATAGCATTGGAGGAAAGCATTCACAAAGGTTCAAATGGATGAGAATTGAGCAAATCTGATTAATTTAATTGCATAGTTTAGAAAAATCTATGTCCATTGCAACAAGAATAATGCATTTCCATTGAACACGTTAACCATGTGGGGTAAGATGCTGGGATCTCACCAAGCACTCAATACTATAAGCATGTTGGGCTAGGTGGGAATAAAAGCAAAGGTTTTATCATGGACCCACTTACTTCCAAAATTTCACATTTTCACAATTATGAACCATGTAAATGACAGTGAATAATAAGGGAGATGTGGGGGCTCCATAATATCGAGTGCTGCACTTTTAATGAGAGTTAATGTGATTCTAGATCAACTTTTTAGAAGCTACATTGGATTTTAGATGAAACATTATTTATATTTTACCCTCATTTTGGGAGGATTTTATGATATTGTTTTATATTTTCCATGTGGGTGTCCTCCTACAGACGGGGCTGAGAGAGAAAAATCAGCCTAGCTGGTCCAGTTGGTCCAGTCTCTCGACATTTCAGGGCTGCTGTTGTCCAATGGACCGGCCAGCCTCTCTGTGCTTTATGCTTAGTTTCATATTAGGGTTATGCTTGCTTCTTAGTACATATATGTTGTTTAAACCTATTTTGAAACTTTTAGCTTCTGAGTTTATACAATTTAGAACTTTGTTGTAATAACCCAAAAATAAAAAAAAAGAAAACAAATATAGAAAGGAATTCTAACTAGTTGTGTTGGTTTGAGCGAAGCATTTCAAAAGTTTCATATTAAGAATAGACACCTCATTTGAACCAATGTAACAGTAAGAATGAAATAGAGGACATAACAAGAGAGAGCCAGGCGAGGAAGAAGAACAAGAAGAGAGAGTAATACTTGCCTGCAAAAGACAAAGCCAAAGGTACCATACACCGATTCTGATCGTGAATGGTTTACCTAGGGAGCCGATCGATGTGTAACAAGGCAAGAAGATTGATGAGTGCAAGCTAGGGCTTCCCATGCATCTATCAAAGCCGACAACAACGACGAGAGAAACACATGTATGCAACAATCGAGCAAATGAGGAGGAAGAAGATAATGGGTGCTGTGTGAGTTGATGACGATAGAAGGTGCTACCTTGCAAATTGTGACAAATGCATACAAATGGGCAAGTTAGGGCTTACACTAGGGCGGAATGATCTTCAAGCTCGAATGACTGAAGCATGCAAAAAAAGAAAAATCAAGAGCCAACCGAGCTATGATTATTGAATTATGAATCAAGCGGCTATTTTATGCTTGTGTGAGATCAATTGAGATGAGGACTAAATATCTAATGTGAACCAGAACATCACATCCAATGTCCCGCGAACTCAGAGGAAGCAAGCAAAACAAAGAATACATAGGAGTGACAAGCAAACAATAGTAGCTTGAGGTAAAAAGGGGAAAGTTTTCTCTCGTTTGAGCGATGCAAAAGCTGATATCATGTGGGACTAATTGGAACCAAATGACGACGACGACAAAAACAACAACAACAAGCCTTTATCCCATTAAGTGAGGTTGGCTACATGAATCCTTTTTCTCTATTGTGTCCTGGGTAAATTTTAATTAAGTGGTTCACTCATAAATTATACATGTTCTTAACACTAATATCAAATCTACTTTGTTGAAGAATATTTTATGTTCGAAGATAAATTTGATGATGATTTTAAAAACTCAATAAAAGAAATTTTATTAATTTAAACAAAGTAAATAAAAAAAAAGTTAAATCTAGTAACGATAAGATGTTATATCAAAATATATATTGTAATACAATAAATATGCAGCTTACATATTAAATTAATGACAAAATAAGAGCAAATTTTAATAATATAAATAAGGTTATGTTAGAAGATTGAAAGTGGAAAAAAATTAATATTATCATAAGAAGGTTATTAATCTAAGTTCGAGCAATAAACATTAATTATGATTTAGATATATAATTAAGTGTAAAGGAGAATTAAATTTACGTAGTTGAATAAAGGAAAGATTTTATTTAATAATTGAAGTAAATGAAAACAGCTGACGATAATCCTTACATTTATAATTAGTTAGTCAATTAAAATAAAAGAAGGAATAGGGAAAGGAAAAAGTTCGTCTTCAGGAGATCAAAGTGAATACTCTTACTTTTAAATTATAATAGCTTTTGTTTTGTCTAAATTGACTCCATTGATTATTATTGAAACCTGATTGCACTGTTTGTGTGATTTAAATGCTCTTTCTTTTTGATGTTGGTCATATCATTGTGTTGAATTTATTAGAAATGCTACTTTTACGCATTATATAAATGCATACAAAATATATTGAATTGAATGAAATAAATGTATGAATGATTAACTACATAGATTGATTGCATGTGAATGCTTGGATATGAGGGAGTTCACTCTTTTGTGGTACTAGCAGGGGAATATTAAGTTACCCGTGCACGTAAATGAAAAATGATATTGATACTGAAGTATCTTAAATAATATAATTTTAGATGCACTGCTGTGACGATTGTATATATATAAAATGATATAAATATGATATTGATATATTAAAACATATTGAATGTTATGAAATATCGTAATTGATTATATTCATAAATTATCAAATATTTTGGTATCGATTTATTAAAAGTTTAATTGACACGACTATTATTTCATTTTTGTCACATTACTGTGATTTAAAAGTAGGTTTAATCATTGACATTTTTACCTTATTGTTTTTTTCAAATTAATTTTTTAGGTTTAATTAATTTATTAAAATATGAGCGATAGAAGATGAAATATTTATAGAAAACACAGACAATCTTACCCATGGTAAATTTATAACTGCTTTAATTTAATCTTTTTTATACAGTGACATCTTCATTTGTTAAAAGTTAGTTATAGAAAATGAATACATTAAAATTTAAATTTTCGCTGTCCAGCCATTTTGTATTCACCTTGATTAACTCCAAGCCCCGGGTTGACTTGAGTAATTTCTCTATTTGCTCTTTAGTTTGAGAGTTGTCATTTTCCTTTTCAAGGGATGTATTTATAACTAAATTATTAATAATTTCTATATTTTCCTTTACATTTGTATCCCTCTTTCATAGCCGGCTAATACCCTCTTCCTTTTTGCTTTCCACTAAAGTATTAGCAGCTATTCCTCAAGCTCTTGGAATCTCTATTGTTTTGTCAGGTTTTCCCTTTCTCATTAACTTACAAACATCTTCAATACCTTATCTTACTCTAGTCACCATCTAGAATTCCTAGATTGGAGTCCAGCCCTTTGTTTCATTACACATTCTAGTGACGAGAGATAATTATTTTGGAGTTGATGGCATGGGAATGATGATGAAATCGATCAAGATCCTGTGATTTTGTTATTCTAGGTTATTATTGACTTATGTTATGAAAGACAAAGGCAGACCTAGGAATACTTGGGCTTTTTGTAAAAGAATGATCTTAATTTATTAGAACTAAATGAAAAGATGACATTAAATAGGGCGCAATGGAGAAGAAAGGATTCATGTAGCCGAATCCACATAGTGGGATTAAGGTTTTGTTGTTGTTGTTGTTGTTGGTCTACTTGGCCGGAAAAGCTAGTCAACCCAACTTGATCAAATGATCCTTATTATTAGTCTTAGGATGTATCGTCCGAGGGGATTTTATAGATTTGGAGTGAATTTTTGTCTGTTGGGACAATTGTCAATCGACCTTAACTAATACGGAGTACTGTGTCATATCAATTGCATTGTATAATTAATCGCTCTGGGATTTAGGTCATTTGGGAACTTGCAGGTTTTGATCATGATAAAATTTAATGGTCCAATTTTATGACAAGTCACTCAGTCAAAGGGTGAATTTTTTGTGGTGCCATTTCACTGCAAAATTAACTCACTATAGAACATGCCACATTCTTATTGGCATGAATCTTTGAGAAGGGTCATTAAAGTACACTTAATATGTTATTGGCTCTTTCTGAGCTTTAGATTAATCTTAAATTCATTAGTCTCATCAAATGAGTGCGGATGATAGACGAGTTCATATTTTAAACTCGAAGCGGTTGATTTCATTTCAATATTTTTAAATTTATAATTTTTTTATCATGGGCCCAAATTGATTTGCTTTCAACACAATTAAGGTTTATTTTTTGCATGGTTATCAACGGGGTTGTTTTATTGATTTTATTTGTTTTGTACTTTGGACTCCCTCAATATTGCCTGCATGTTTGATTGTAGAGAATTGGGTTTACATATTTATGTATTTTTGAGTTTCTTTGCACATTTATTGTATTAATATTTATTATAAGGCACAGCTCTTGTCAATTTCCATCATTGTGATGTGGAGGGTTGGACCTAAAAACTGTGCAATCCTATCCTGTAAGTAGGACAATCTGTTGCATAAAATATTTATTGATTTAAATTTGAGTTGAAGGACAGTTTGCAATTTTCAAAGTAATGGCATGCCTTTTAGAGTAGTTGCGACTAAAGTTCATTCAATTTAAGAGTGGCCTAATGATGGATCTTTTGGCCTCACCCTATACATAGGATGATTTGATTGACGATAATTTATTGTAAATTATTTTGAAGGATCTATGTAAATCTGAAGCCATAAATCTTGGCAAATGTCATTTTATTTGGTCTCAAAGACTGAAAGTTGGCATAGTTTACTTTAGTATTAGATATGCCAGATGTTGGGGTTTGTAACCTCAATTACATGGAGGTCCGTGTTTAATGTTTTATTCCTATGATATTTGAGAAGCCCCATATGGGACTTTATTACCTCAGATCTAGGAGAGTCCACTGATGTGGTTTAAGACCTCGCCCTGTTGAGGTGACGACACAGAATCAATGTCATTATAAATGGTTTTGAAGGCTTTTTTGCAAATGTAAAGACAAATATTTTGGTGACTTTCATTTATGTCAATTCATTATACTCACCTTTGTTGGTTTTAGCAACTCTTTTGAGTATCAAGCTTAGCTGTCCACTTAACACCTGCCGAGCCTCTTGATGGGATAGGTTGGTTTCACATGTTTATTATCTTTGAAAACTGAGGTGGTTAGGATATTCTGATGATGCATTGAACTCAATATGTTGTTAAGGAGTTTTTGGCTCACGTCGTGCGTTATATTCATTAAGTACTATAAAAGAATTTTGTAGTTCATACCCTGGAGGTGTTGTGTGGTCCATTGTGGTGGAATATTGGTTCCATGCCCTTGGCCAACCAACAAGGAGCATTATAAATAATTAATTATTTTTAATGTGTACCATTAATATAATTATTTTAAAAATTCATATTAAGCATATTTTATTTAGGAAGCGGTAGAGGGAGCTCCACATGACCTTATATTGGGTTCAAGTCCTTTTTCCCATATGTGAGATGTTTTTGAAAATTTGTATAGTTGACTTTAGGCTTTTTACCTTTTATGTATATTCCATAACGCTTCTTTCTAATTATCTCATTTAATGCTCATGGGTAGATGCTTGTATCCCTTGATTCATGCATTTGTCCATGGCAATTTTGTTGTAAGAGACTTGCTAGAAGTTTTGGCATAGCTTCTGTACCATTTGAAGGCTGTAATTGAAGCAGGCCATTCCACAATAATAATAAAGGCGCTTTGGTTGTGGTGCACTAAACACTGTGACTTATGAAATCTATCTCACTACGTGAATAAATGTGTTTAGGTATATCCACCTTGTCCTGAAGGTGCTTAGCACATAGGTGAAAAACACAATCTATGTAAGAGCATGAATTTTATTGAAATTATTTTAGCTTTGTCTTCATCTCCATGAGATGGCAATGGAAAAAAGCCATCTTATATTGGAGCAACAAATGTAGGCTAATTTGTCACATCGATAAAGGTATGACCATATGGGTGTGGTCCATGGGGCACCACAACTAATGAAATCTATCCCATTTTTAATAAAAGTGCTTAGGGCATCTCACCACTCCAATGAAGGTGATTAGGGTTATATAATTATACTATAAATGAGAGTCAAATGGAATTTTCCGTTTGGGTTCTGGTCAGACCCAAATTGATCTGATTTATAATTGTTTTTGCCCGACTAGACCCAAATATTAAATGTGTTAGAAAGTCTAACTTGAATCTTTTGCATAACCCATTTAACATTAGACATGAAAACTACTTGGGTCAAGTTTGGATTGGTCAGTTAACTTGAACTCGACTTGAAAAAATTAAACGTGTTAGGAATATAGACCCGAACCTGACTCTAAAAGTAATCGGGTCAAGTTGATCCAGATTTTGTTAGTTGGATCAAATTTTGACATCATACCTATAAATTATTCTTTTAGCCCTACCAATAAATGTGCTTATAGGCATCATGATAACTGCAGGTGAAAGTCATTTATGTAAGAGCAAGAAGTTTATTGATAAAATTTGACCGCGCTTCTTTGTCACCCTTGCTTGGGGGTAGCAGAAACATGCAATTTTACTGCTCCAATAAATCTTCTTTGGGTGCAGTGCATGAAGCACCACGACCTATCAAATCCATTCACCACACCAACAAAGGTGGTTAGGGGCATCCTGACTCCCCAAGGAATGCGCTTTTGGGTATTTAAGAGTATCTATAAATCTATTCTATCAAAACAATGAAGACAGTTAAGGGCATTGGGTGCTATCTATAGTGAAAAACACTGTCCATATTAACATTGTGTGATAGTGTATATCCCCCATGTTACATTGATGTGGGGAATTTTTTATTAGTTGTGATTCTAATGTGTTGCACAGACTTAACAATTTTAGCATTCGATTGTGCCTTTAGCATTGGAACATTTCATCTCATATATGCTAATTTGTTCAGATTTCCCGTTTTCTCTTCACAAATTCTTGTCATGCTCATATAATGGTAAAATATTATTTAAAGGTGTTAAATCTTCACATTTTTGTTTAATTCTAGGCAACTACATTATGGTTTCATTTTATGTTTACTTTCCAATTTCTATGCCATGTTGGTTTCATTAGTTGGAACATTTAATTTTACAGGCAGATCCGAGATTTCTTTGGAATGATTACATATTGGAAGCACTCGTTGATAACAAAGTTAGATAAGCTTCTGAGCATCTTTAATTACTTTAGGATTGTTGCTTTCTTTCTTGAAATGCTTACTGCTGGTATTACTTCTTGCAGTTAGACCCATACATACTTCCTGTCATGCAAGGAAATATCCTTAGTTTCATTTTGGTTTTCCACTTTTCATTTGACATTTAGCTGAATAAGCATATCTTTTTTCCATTTAGCCTTAACTAAATAGCAGGTTATCAGCATTTTGAAGCAGCACTTGGTACAAATATTGTTGACGTGTCACTCATTGCTCGCAGATGTACAAGGAGGACAGGTCATGGTTATTTAATTTGTTCTTTTTAAATAAATTTAGGTAGTTTTTACAGATCAGACTTCATGTAACTGGCACTATTTTATTTCTGACACCCCTCAGAATTAGTTATGCAATTTATGAATGTCTTTAAACTACTTTAGGTACCCGTATGTGGAGAAGAGGAGCTGATTTAGATGGTTATGTTGCAAACTTTGTTGAAACTGAACAGTTAATGCATGTAAATGGATTCACAGCATCTTTTTTGCAAGTAAGCTGCTTTCACCTAGTAACCTGTCTTGCAAAAAATCAGCAATAGATGATTAATATAAGGTGGTGTTGGTCATGATGACGATTGTAGATAATAAATTATCAACATGTTTTTTTTTTTGTTTACAAACTGGGGCACAACCTGGATCATCAGATCGTTCATTTTGTTATTTATCCACATCACGTATATTAGACTCTCCATGACATCTAAGAATAAGTTCTAGAGAATCTTGTCATATCTTGTTTTCTCAAATAGTTTTTTGTTTGTGTTTTTATCATATTTAGGCTTCAAAGTTCAATTATTGACATGTAGATGTGTAGTTTTCATGAATTTCCACGTCTTAACTGCTCACCCTCTAGAGTTTTCACAAGAAGGGAGATGGAAAAATAATAAAGTCGTTAGAAGATAATGTCACGACAGACCTTCATTTTCTTCTTGTTTATTTTCCTTAGGACTTATTTATTGATGATGAATGATGGAGAAGTTCGACTGTGAACATATGTTTCTTGTTTGTGGACAATGTCGACTAGATCATAAATTCTTTTTTAACCTTAAATCCTTATGTTTTATTAATCGAAGGTATATTTTAAGTTACAAATGGAATTGTGGAAAAAATCTGAAAGCCAGAATAGAGTTTGCATCTCGTACAGGACTCTATTGGAATGAGTTGTGAAACATAATGTTAATGCTAGCCTCAAATAATTGGGATATGGCTATTGATGATGATGAATAATATTTGTGAAATGGAAATTCGCTATAAGAAATTTTCAGCCTTTTACAGTTGTTACTCTTGTTTTACCTTCCTATTGTTTGTGCGATTTAATGCAACATAGAAATTGATTAAAGCTGTTTCATACAGATTTAAGGGATTTCAATGAGGTTGTTGAAATTTAATTTCTCTATTCTTTAATGAAACTTCAGTTTATATTCTTATGCAAAATTTAGTTTCAAATTGAGGGTAAGGTGAAGGTGGTGATGATTGATGGTCATGCTCCTGACTTCCAACAGCTGTGCTGTTGGCTGTAATTTGTAATTATTTTAAATTATAGGCATGCTTGGATGAAGGCTTATGTGTAAAATTTTATTTATTTTATTTATTTCATTTGACATGGTCTTTATCCACAAATTTATTCAACATAATTAATCCTGGCATAGTGCTGACTGTTTTTGTCCTTTTTGTAGGTTCGTGGTTCCATACCATTATTATGGGAACAGATTGTCGATTTAACGTATAAACCTCCATTTCAAATTGTGCAACCTGATGAGGGGGTGTGCATCTGCAGAGATTTTTTGTTATATCATTGGTGGAATAATTTATATTAACTGTTGTATTATTCTCCTGTTCAGTGCTGAATATGACTAACTAAAACTCTTTATCTACATCCCTAGCCTCGTGTAGCTCAGCGCCACTTTATGGATCTTGTTAAAAGATATGGATCTATCATGGCTGTTAATCTTGTGAATAAGGTAATTCTTACTCTTGTGAATAAGGTAATTCTTGCTGTAATGTGGCGTTCATCTTAATTTGATTTTTCATTGCAGCTATCCTCTACCGTGGAAGTTATTACATTCTAAATTAACTAATAAAAATAAGACATGAAATGATCACATGTACTTATTTGTTCAATTTTGCTTGATTTTTGGCCCTATTTGTAGATTCATTTTTCCGGTTGATCAATTTGTTAGCATTGTGTGTGGTTGGCTTGCACATGCTTTACAATATTTGTTATTATGAGGTTAAAATTTAATAGAATAAGACCAGTAAGGAGAAATTAAGGTTTATGTAGTTGTTGTCATTCATGAGCATTTGATCCATCTACAACAGCACATTCAACTTATCACACTTCAGGTGATCCCGTCATGTCAGAGATTTAATAGAGGGAACTACTAAATCGAACTCAATTTTTGCTGACATATATCTTATTTGTTCTTGTTAGGATCAAGTGAAAAATTAGACTTAATTAAATCATTATAAAGAAAACTCTTACATTTTATTTCTTTAATTAATTCTTTAGTATCCAACATAATATATGAAGCTTGTACAAGTACTCCAATAAAATACAGACGTTCTTAAAAACACATGAATATGAAATCATACAAGAACAACAAGAACAACAAAGCCATAATCTCACTACGTGGGGTCGGCAAATATAAAATCATACATAACAAAAAAAATCTTCTATAGCCATAAAAAATTGTGCATTCGAAAGCTATATAAAATTACAAGTCGCCTTGCTAACATTTCACTTATTCTTTTAATCTTTGTAGAAATTAATATTATGATTTCTAATAAGCTGAATGCTCAGGGAGATAAATAATGCTAAAATTATATTTAAATTTTTAAGAAAGAAATAAAGCGTATGCTAGCCAGGGACTTATCAAGAGTAACAACAATAATAATAAATACATATATTTTGATATTTTATTACTAAAGAAAACAAGCTTGTAAGCAGTACATCAATAGTTGTTAAAGATAAACAAAATTGCTACTCACAAGTCATTTAAGTCACTATAATAAGTAATATCTTATATGCTTATACTTTTCTATTTCATTCTTATTATTAGCATTTCTTGTCTCATTTTATCTTTTTATATGCTTTAACATAATTTATTTTACTGGGTCATTACCCAGTCTGTCGACTATAACAATCATTGATGAAGGTAACACTATGCTTTGTCATCAGCTCTTTCATACAAGTTGATCCATCCTATTCTTTGTAACAAGAGTCGGAAACTCAATTATTTTCTTATCAAAGTTTATCTCGTTAAAACTCTGACCTTCATTGCGCAAACTATTAATGTAATTATCTATCTTTTTACAATATACATAATATTTCCTCGATTATCTTTATGTGTTATAGCTGTTTTGTATATTATTCTTACTAAACAGGAAGGTACCTATTAACAATCAACTTAATTAGCATAAAATAGATAATAATCTACATTTATTTTTGATATTGCATTTCTATAATGATCCTATGACCGAAAATAAGCAATTAAGCACTTACATGAATAAAGTTTTGGTAACGTATTCATATTGTGCTCAATATGAGAGAAATTCTAAATACAAACATACATCAAGTAGGATATGCTATTGAGTAATAGCAAACATTAGCCCTACAGACAATTTGAGTCCTTTTTTAACAAGTGAATATCTCATCTTGACTGTCAGGTTAGTCTCGTGATGAATTTTTCTCCCTAGGCTCTTCTCTTTAAATAAACAGTCTAACAATAACCAATTCATTAACTTGATGAATTTTTAAAATCAATCTCAATTTAGTACAAACAACTATAATTGACGTTTTTAGCTTGAAACGGTTTCCCCTCACAAAATTGTCTCTTTCCTCCCTACTGTTTTCCTTCTCTTCTTCATTTTCTCTCATACTTATTTCCTTTTATTTCTTCACTCTGGAAGCTACCCGAGAGCAGAACAAGTCTCTATCCATATCGCTTTCAGCTCCATCTCCCGCTATAGTCCCCATTTCGCATGCTAGCTAGTGACATGAGAGGAAAATGAAGGAATTAATGGGCTTAGCTTAATGTATATGTGTGTGTGTATTTAATTAACTTAATTTAAATTAATTCTTGCCCTTAGATTGCATCCAGTCGCAGACAACTCTCCTTGCAAAAAACTGTAAATCAGATTGATGAATACTGAAATTAAGATAAATTTAATAAATTTAAGTAATATTTATTAAATCCAAATATAGTAATAATATGTATTTATGCATGCGTGCGGGCATTTGTGTGTGTGTGTGTGTCATTGTCATTGTATATATCAAATTACAATTACTCGGGATAAAGTGTAGAATTTTGTAAAATAGTTTGGATTTTTTTTTGAGGTTAAAAAATGGGGAATAATCTAAAATAAAATTTTAACTTAACTTATTTGTATTTTTTTGGGTATTACTGACCTTTCTACATAGAGATCTTTTTATGATTGTGGAGGAAAAATATTTGAAGTAAACCTAAAACCATTACTAAATCTCAATCATGGAGCATCCATATTAATTTTCAAATATGTTTGGATTTTTAGATTCTATGTTTTGATTTCACAATGTTCCCATAAGTATTTTTTTTAATCAGCATGGTGGTGAGGGACGTCTAAGTGAAAGATTCACAAAAGTTATGGAGACTATCACTAATTCTAGCATAAGGTAATTCCTTTTTTCAGTGCTTGTACGTAATTATTGAGCAGTCTAAATCTGATTTAAGTGCTTGTACGTAATTTTTGAGCAGTCTAATTTTTTGTTGATGTCACAGATATGTACATTTTGACTTTCATGCGATATGCGGACATATCCATTTTGAACGTCTCTCTCTCCTTTATGATCAAATTGAAGATTTTTTGAAACGTCATAGGTATATGCACTCCTGAATTTTTTATTTGAGTTTATCCATGAAAGGTCTCTTTGCCTCATATTAACTGACTATTGTTCTTTTTTTTTTCTTAGAATTTTATTTTAATGATGTTTGTACTGTTTTTTCCTCTTAAGATCTAAAATTATTTTGTTTTTTCCAAAGTTTAAAAAGGCAAGATCAAGAACCGAGGCGTTTTACCTTAGCGAGGCGAGGTGTATGCCTCAAGAAAGAAAAAAAACACATTAAATTTACAACAATTCATAAATATAACATCAATTATTGATATGTTGATTTAATTTATTATTATAAAGATATAAATCACAAATTTTAAAAATAAATATTGATATAAAATAGAAGTTTAACACGTGATACTGGGTAAACATTCACTTAAAATTTAAATATTCCATGAGGTTCAAAATCCATTGTGGTTTCATCCTTACTTTTATCATTTTTAAAAGAGTCATCATATTTATTATTATCTAATTCTATCTTACTTTTACTTCAAATTCTTTTCTACTATCAATTAATCCAAAATTGAATTTAATATAAAATAAAAGAATAAATTAATAACATAATCATGTTTTCATACTAAAATTATCTTTTGATCTTGTTAGGACATCGTAGGAAGTAAACATAATATGATATACTATATAGTACATTTTTTTCATAACTTGATTGAGGCGTTGCCTAAATGTCTCGAGGCATTAAGCATTGGCCCATATGCCTCAGAGAATAAGGCGTAAGCCTCACTAGTGACATGAAGGCTTAAGCCCAGAGGCATTTTATGTGCCTCATGTCGAAATGCCCCTCGAGGCGTAAGCCTCAAATGACTTTTTAAACAATGATTTTTCGAAGATGATACTGATTAATGCTTTGAAACTTGATTTATTAACAGAATTTTTTTAACGAGAAAGTGGGATTAAGCCCTTGATACCGAGATGAAATCCCAACAAAAAAAAAAACGACAATATTATTACTTAGAACAAGTCAGATTACAATCAGAAATCAAAAGAAATGAGAAAAAAACATTGTACAACAATATTCAGCAAGGGCTGGGTAGGAAGATCTGGTGACAGTGGTGTTGTTGGCACTGTGACTGAGGGCTAAAGTGGAAGAGGGTGAGAAATTGGTGGCGGGAAGTTGGAGGTTGTAGGGTGGTCGACACCTGGTATCAGGAAGAAGGGGGAATTGTTGGGTGGCCGACGACTAGGAGCAAGGAGAAGGGGGAATGGTGTCTGGCGGCTGGAACCGAAAGGGAGGGGGGTTGCTGGCCTGTGGCCGGTCCAACATCCTACTAGATCGAGACTCCTTTTTCTACTGAACCCCTGCCCGGTTCAATTAAATCCAGCCCCCGCGTCAGCCCTTTTCGTTAAGATACATAAAATAGAGTTGCTAGAGGTGATAATAGGATATGGAAAGTGCACAATTGAAGAAAATAAGAGTAGAAACATATTCGATAAAGTTCCCTTGGGTTATCCACAATGCGTAAATTCCTTGTGTTTTTTTTTAAAGATTTATACTTCTTCCCTTAAGTATAGATCCAAGTAGGTCAATGAGATGATTTTAAACTATTTAACCTTCTTGTTGTTTCCTTCTCTTAAAATTCCTGTATATACCTCTCTGGCTTTGAAAAAAAAATCTCAACTTGATATAATGAATGTATGAAAATAAACTCTTTTTAAAAACTGAAAATGGAAGTGATGCAACTAATAACGGCCAATAAGCTTGTGAAGTCTTCTATTGTCCATATATTATAAGAAACATTGTAATTTGAGAAGATGCGAGCCAATTTCATGACGTGAGTTGCAAATACACTTGACCTTGGAGGATATAATATTCTACTTGTATAGTTAGATTTGTTTGGAAGTTTTTGGAAGAAAACCCGAAGTTGAGACTTAAAGTGGACAAAGTGACTTCCAAATCCATGATAATACCACCAATGGTAAGGAAATAACATAAAGGTCTCACAATGAAGGTTTCATTAGTAATCATCCATTCAGTTGAATTCGTATAAGAACTAAGGGTAATTGGATGGAGAGAATAAACATCATCAATGCCACTCTACAATGAAGTAGGAATGATTCTGTGCAAGTGAATCATCTAAGTAGTGCTATATACAACATGGTAGTTCTTTTTGTATGTAGGTTTCCAAACTGTAACAGAAAAGACGTCCTCTTTTCTTATTTTTTTTACATATATGTATACTCAATCTCAATAGAGTAGGAATATCTCTACGGAAGGAAAGATCCTGTAATTAGATAGCCTCTAATTAAGTTTCCTATAATCAAACTTGCTAATATACAAGCTTTCTAATATATTGCTTTCCATAAGACTCCCACTCATGTTGGAGCATAGATATTTATCATACCCAGTTTGCTATTAATATAAGTGACCCTAGCTCCATTAAGAGCCTTTGTAATGATGTGCCCTAGTTATTCCCCAATATTTACTTGTGCTGTAAAATCAAATTTTGTTGAATCTTTTCACAAACAAAATGAAAATCTATTTTAATGTGCTTAGTTCATTCATGGAAAATAGGGTTTGAAGCAATATGGATTGCGACTTAGTTAGCACACCATAACTTTATGAACTGTCATTTTAAAATCCATTTTTGTCAACAGTTAGGAGAACCACATCAATTTATTTGAAGCTTGTGCCATTGCTCGATACTCAAAATCTGCAGTGAACTGCGACACTTCATCATGTTTCTTGCTCTTCTATGAGATCAAATTACCACTAATAAAGAAGCAATATCTAGTAATAAATCTTCAGTGAACATTGAAACTTGCCCAATTAGCATGAGAGAAACATTAAATGTTTATATGCTCATTTTTCTAATATAAAATACCTTGTCAGGAATTTCCCTTGAGGTAATGTAGTATTCGTTCCAAAGCTGACCAATGAGGACCGTGGGCTAAGACATAAATTGACTTATAGTGACAACGGAATACACAATATTAGGACGAGCTGCTGTGAGGTAGTTTAATTTTCCTACTAACTTCTTATACTGTTTAGGATCATTAAAAAGCTCTCAATCCTTGATAAGTTGCTGATTAGGAACCATCAGAGTTCTGCATGGTTTAACCCCTAATTTTTTTATTTCTGCTAACAAATCTAACACACACTTTAATTGAGATAGAAAGATACCATTTTTGGTCCTTGATACCTCAATATCTTAGAGGTACTTGAAGGAACCCAAATCTTTGAATTTCAATTATATGATTCCCCATGCATCGCTTCTAGTAACGATATTGTTATCAACATAAACCACTAATAGAATGATTTTGAGGCAGATTGCTTATAGAATACAATTGGATATCTTTTACTTTTCCACATTCCAAACTCATCTGCTGCCTGGTTAAAATTTCCAAACCATGCTTGAAGGCTTTGCTTCAATCCATATATGGACTTCTAAAGATGACATACTTTCTCAGACTCCCCCCGAGCAATAGACCTAAGTGTTTGCTCAATGTAGACCTCTTCCAAAAGATAACCATGCAGAAAAACATTCTTCACATCCAACTGCTGTAGGGGTTAATTATGCATTGCAGACAATGATAGGAGTAGGCAAACCAACATCAACTTAGCTACTAGAGAGAATATGTCCAAGTAGTCGTTCACATAAGTTTGGGCAAAACCTTTAGCAACCAATCAAACTTTTAGTCAAGCTACGGATCCATCATAATGAAACCTTATTGCAAAGACTTACTACCAACAATCTTCTTGTTAGAAGTTAGCTCAGCTAATTCCCAAGTTTCATTTTCGTTAAAGGCATTTATCTCATCAAGCATCGTTGCCCGCTACCTAGAATAGAACAAGGCTTGCTGAATAGATCTTGGAACCTCAACAGAGTCAAGAGAAGTAAAGAAAATAAAGCAAGAATTGAAAGATAATTGATTATAATTAACATAGGAGGAAATGTGATAGACACATTAATCGTTATCACTTCGAAGAGCAATCAGTAAACTGAGTAGGATACTGGCATCGGACTAAAATCAGGGTAACGAGATCTTCTCAAGCAAACATTAGTGATAGGTGGTTTAGGCTGAGGCACTGGAGGTGTAGCTGGAGCAAGATCTGAACTTCTGTTCTAGTATATTAAAAACTCATCAAAATTTTGTAAAAAATTAAACATCAATGAGTTACAAAAAATGGGTTTTATTCATGAATCATCAAAAATCATGTACCTATTTAAGAGTGGGGACAACATTGATACCCTTTATGCAGTCGAGAATATTCTAGAAAGGCACATCTTAATGATGTAGGGTGTAATTTAGAAATTTGTAGATGATTATCATGAATGAAACAAGTACACCCAAATATATGATGGTTCAATAGGCAAGAGAGATTTACGGCCCATTTGGGGCAGCTTTTTTTGGCGCAGTGCGTTTTGAAAACACAATTGGGTATGTTTGGAAATAGTGGCGCGGTGGCATTCCTAAATAATCTATCTTAAAACGCGGTCGCAGGCCTGCGTTTCTTCGCGGAGATATTACCCCGCTCGCCCATGACTCCCTCTCTTGCGTTTCTTCTGCCTCTCTCGAGACTGTGGGTCCCTCTCTTGCATTTATTTTGCCCTAGCTACTACTCTCGATCGCTTTCACAAAGTTCTTACCACGCTGCCTAGGTATCTCTCTCATTTTTTTCTAGCATCTCTCTCTGGTGGCAACTTGCCTTTCTCTTCTCTCTTTTCCCTCTGATCTTTGGTTATTGTGCACTGTATGTAATTCATGGCTCATCTTTGATGGAATGGTTTTCTCTTTGCGATTTGCGGCTTTCTAATTTTCATCTCTGATTATTGTGAGAATTTTGTGGATTTTGCGATTTGTAAGGTTGGAAGTGTTTCAAGTGCCCCCTGTATGTAGATAACACTATTTCAGGTGCTCTGTATGTCTCTGCCTCAATTGAAAAATGGATGAAAGAGGGAGAATAGCATTTTTTCGGTGCCCTGTATCTCACAGCCTCAATTGAAAAAATTTGAATGGAAGATAGCTTTTTCT